TTTTTTTTTTTTTTTTTGGTAGCAGCAAACGATATCTCGTGAGTTAGAAGCAACAGATTCAAGATTTCAGTAACTGCTACATTATTGAAATAGTGGGAAAATCAGATAAAATAAAAAATGGAATTGGAAAGAAAAAGACCTGATATTGAGTTGCAGGATCTGTATCCAGCCCACTTAAAAATCTACAATTGTGCCCCAATACTTCATGTCTAGCATAGCCTATCCGAATAGGGGAAATTGATGGTTAATGAATAACTATATGATTGATAAATAACCATGAAAATATGTTCTTTTAATTTAATAATAAACTAGCAGATGGCAGTAAACTTCTCGTTTGAGACAAAGCAATACTTCATAGAAATGATATTGGGATAATATTAGTACCGGTTAATTCCAAGAACATGTCACTTGCATACACTATTGGCATGTCAGGTAAGTGCGGATCAGATCTGCAAGGTAACAGAGAGTGTTGCCAAGAAAGGATATGTTAAAAAAGTATGTTAACCTGAATTATTAACGAAAAAAATGACAAAATCCAGTTATTGAACCAACTCACAATACAAAGCTTTGTTTGATTCTACCAAGAGATATATTTAAGGACGAAACAAGACGTCCCGTCCCAGATAAGCAGCAGCACTTTCCACACACCAATTTGCCAGACAACTCACTATAGTGGGTCAGGATGGACAAAATATTACTAAGAGCAGCATTGGCTTTTCCCTTCTCTGTCTCACTTGCCTCACAAGGTTCATTAATTTCTTCTTCTGCAATATTTATATAAGTATTGTTTAAATGAAATCCTTATTGGACAACATAAACAAGAGCTTCACTGTGCAATAGAAGAATTCAAGTTTTTGGTCAAACAAGAAAGAATAATTCTATGGATTAGCCATCACATATCTACTCATAACTTCTGGACCAAGGAAACCATGACGATGACAAAGGTAAAAAAAAATCTATTCCAAAATGAGAAGCCAAACCTGTTAGGGATTAAGCCTTGGTCCCAATATTGAGAGCAATAATGAATGAAAAAGAAAACAGAAATACGTAAGCACAAACACACAGGTTTAGTTTTTAATTTCATGTGAAAACTATGACCATGAGTCACTTCATATTTTCCACTATAATGAAGAAAGAGTTTGTAAAGTTTTTCCTCTCACACACCTCTGTTTTATCTTACAGCAAAACGGGGCCATCAATTTCTTTTACATCGCGTAAGAAAATAGTGATGGTCGGTTCATGGTTGGATGGGACGAGTGCTATATATAATTAAGCTCCATGCAATCCAACAAACCCACACATCTCTTTTATTTTTAAAATTGATGATGAGATTAGAAAATATAGATACCAAGAGAAAATAAGACTACTAAAACTAGCCAAAGATATATTTGGAAATGGAAACTCGAAGAAGTTTACAGGTTCATATCATGCAAACAAATAAGTGGTTGCTGGGATTTATTGACCTAAGAAACAAAACATTTACATGTGCACAAAAAATTGCAGTTGAAAATACGAAAAATGATAAAATAGTTGCAGACCTCCATCATCGGGACTTGATACTGAATCCAGAGATGATGCACGTCCTATTTCCATGACTGTATCTGAGCATACCTCCCTCCTACAACACCCGAACATGCCCTTGCGAAAATGTGCTCCATCCTCACACGAATTCACAGCATTCCGCACGACAGTGCATCCAGTATACTTTGGCCTCCTGGGAATAGGCACTTGAACTCCCACAAAATGAATCACTCTACCATCCTCCTTACTGAAAACCGGAGACATATGAAACAACATCCAAAATGGCGTCCGGTCTTTCCTGTAATTCAATAGACTAATCTGTATAGCCCTCTCCTCTCGAATTGCCTCCCGAATCTCCATAACCGACCTTCTATCAGTCCTAGGACCTTGAAACACCCTTCCATTTCTCCCAATCACCTCATCCTCAGAGTAACCGAACATTTTCAAGAATCCATTTGAAGCAAACACAATCGGATGCCCAGAAATGCAAGGATCAGTTATAGTGAAGCTGTCAGGCAATTCATTTAGAGCTTCCCTAACCCATACTGAGTATCTTAAGTCAAGTGACTGTCCAATCAATCCCAATTGTGATTCCATATCAAATTTCCTAATTTCCCTTCAAAGATTAATTCCTTATCACCATAAACTAAACCAAAGCCCATGTGTCACTTTCAGCTCCTCAAGCTTCAACAAATTGAAGACTTCAGCTTCGACAAATATAAACACAACCCACTAAAAATCCAATCAATAAACAGAACACATAAAAATACGGCAAGAAATAGACTTCGAAAGAAAGCACATAGATTTTCTTCAAAAACCGTGCATAGAAGAAGACGAAAATAAAAATAAAAATAAAAAATAAAAGGGTAACTAGTGAATTAATTTCTGAAAATCGATAAAACGGTATTAGGTCTTACAAGGTACAGTTCAAAGTTCTACATGTCTTTAAAGAAGAAGAAGATCATGGACATGGAGACAATATGATTACTGTACATAAAAATATCGGAATTGAATTTAGCTTCGTTTCGAATGAACAGTAAGGGTATAATAATAGAGACACCCATAAATCGGTTTTGATGATAAAGAAAATCTTGAAATTCTCTATCAGGGAAGAGAGAGATATAGGCGCAGAGATTTTGAGTAGAATCACAAAATATACACCATACTTTCGAGTTCTGATTATGCACTATTAAATCACAGCAAGAATGTGGCTATCGAAGCGCGAGGTAGTTTTTTGTTATGTTCAACCAAGCATGTTTGGTTTTACTTATAAGTTGATTTAGTGAATAAGTAAATTTTAAAATAAAATAAACTTTTGCCCTTCATAAGTTACTTTATTAGCCCCTGTTTGACCCCCCATTAGGAATAGTATTTTTCTGAAAAATGAGTGGTTGAAAAAGAATGAAAAGTTTTCAATTTACCTGTAATATTATTTTATGGAAGATTGTGTGGTTAAAAATAGGAGAGAGAAAAATGAAATGTAATAGAATTTAATGTACCAAGGGCTTAATGTGTAATAAGGATCATGTACATTACATTGTTAAGCTATTTAATTGAAAAGAGTAATGTTATTCGTAATCGTTCATTGCGATAGTCGCCTTACGTGGTATACACATGGCATGTGATTATCTGATACATTAATGTGGTAGTTTTTTAATTCATTAATGTATCAAATAATCACATGTCATGTGTATGTCATGTAGGGCGATTGTCGCAGTGAGCGACTACAAATAACATTATTCAATTTAAAAATAAATAATTTTCATAAGATAAAAAAAAATTATAAAAATTAAATTATGAAAAAAAGGGCCTTGATACTTTTTTTCTCAATCAAGGTCAAAATTCTATACTAAATTGTTGTGTCTGGACAATTCCAATTAAAAATGAGACTTGGCTCATTTTAATTCTTTTTTATTAAGTTGATTCTGATTGAATAGTACTCTAACGATACTTTATTCGACTCTATTTATAACCAACATACTTTGGTTGCGTTCATTTATTTCTTTCCAACTTCGCTTAGTTATTTCAATCAACTACTGTTTGACCTAACTGTAAAAACGAAGTTACATCATTCTTCACTAAAAGATCATGACGCTCATAGCTTCTTGTTTAACTCATGTTAATCTAATTATTTTATTCCTAACATCATTGGTTCGATGATACATGTTTATCCTACAAAGAATTTAATTTTTTGTTGAAACTTCAAAATTATGTTCAATTTTGAAGCTTGGTTTGGAAAAAATATTTGACATTTGATTTGTTTGTGCAAACATATTATATAGAAGAACAGTTAGAATTGAATTTGATTACCCCTTTCGTTTTTCTAAACATAGATTTTCTTTTAATTTTAATGGACTCATTTGTCACTTATCTTCTATTAAGTAATTTTTCTTCAGGATAAACTCGAATATTGTTATAATTTTATTAAATTTTAAATAATTTCTCTGTCGCATGATTTGAAGGTGACGAGAAAAATCTTCTCAGATATGAACCAAACTGGGGTATGAAATTTCTGGTGCAGATGCACCTGGTTTTACAAATTTTCATTATTAAATACAATTGATTTGTGAATTTACCATTTTAGGGCTAAAGAAGCATGATATTATGATGAAATTCTTATGCACCACATAATTCATGATGTGGTGGTATGTATTGTATCTTATTGGGTTTCATTAAAAAAAAAAAAAAAAAAAAAAAAAAAAAAAAAAAAAAAAAATTTTT